TTGTGCTTAGCAGCAATCATGCACATGGAAACATGGAAATTGCTTTTGGGGTCAAAGGCCGTTTACAGCCAATCGAATCCACAGGAGGGTTATTTAAACCCAATTATCCTTTTGCTCATTGCCCTGTCGTGGTTTCATCCTGATGGTAATCCGAGAGTGCGTTCCTGATCTTGATTTTCTGTTATTTTACTTTGGCTTCGTTTTGACTTCCCTGAATTCTGGTATCCTTGACTTTTGGCTTCCCTTCATCGTTGTGTCTGATTCTGTGTTCCTGACCTCGGTAAGTATTTTGACTATTCTTGGATACGTTAAGTCCAACCATTCCAAGGTCCGGTTATACGTTATCCTTAGTCCTAGGTGTTACACATTTCTGCGTGCTGGACCAACTTGTAATCCTGAAAGCATACAGTCATGATAAAAAAAAATTGCACCCTCTTTGAATGCCATGGTTTTTACACATCAGGACATACAATCCTCTGTTCCTTAGCAGGTCTTAAAATTAGGTAAATACATCCTCAAATGAACAACAACTCATGACATATTACACCATGTCATGATTTATTTAACAAAAATAAAGCCAAAATGGAGAAACTATATGTGAAAAACTAAGTACACTCTTAATGCCTACATAGGAATTAAGAGACTAAGTAGCAGACAGGTGCTGCTAATCAAATGCCCTGATTAAGCGGTCATCAGCAAGTGTGACCACCTCTATAAAAGCAGACGTTTTAGCAGTTTATTGGTCTGGAGCATTCAGGTGTGTGTTAACACAATGCCAAGGAGGAAAGACATTCACAATGATCTTAGCAATTGTTCGCAATTGTTGCATCAAACTGGGAAGGGTCAAAAGGCCATTACCAAATAATTTAAAGTCCATCATTCAAGACAGCTGCCAGCAAATTCACTCCCAAAGTCAGACTGTGCAATATTCAGAGAAAATGCTAAATAAACAAGACTTACATCTCAGACTCTACAGGCCTTAGTTCACGACAGTACAATTAAAAGGCTGAACAAGTATGGTTTGTTTGGAAGGGCTGCCAGGAGAAACTCATTCTCTTTAACCAGAACATGGCAGCCCAGATTAGATTTGCAAAGTTGCAGCTGAGCAAACCACAAGACTTCTGGAACAATGTCCTTTGTAAAGAGGACTGGGACAAAATTCTTCAACATTAATGTGAGAGACTGTTAAAGTTATACAGAAAACGATTACTTCAAGTTATTGCTGCTTAAGGTGGTTCTACAATCTACTGAATCATAAGGTATACTTTGGCTTGATTTTTGTTACATAAATAATGTCATGTGTTGTTGTTCATTTGAAGTTGTATTTATCTCATTTTAAAACCTGCCAAGGAGCAGATGATTGTTATTATGTCCAGATATTTAAAGTCATAGAATTCAAAGAGAGTGTACTTTCTTTTTCCCATGACTGCAAGTTGCCAGTGGACATGGAATAGAGGTCTGTGTAAAAGAGTCAGAGGATGACACTAGGTGACAATTGACATGTAGAGATCACACGTCAAGATTTTCAAGACTTTGGACCCACTCATACACTATACACATTCATAAATGCTAATTTGCACCACAAAACAAGCAGATTCACTTTATACCATATGTGTGTGTATCTTTGAGCATCTGTTTTACTATGTCTTACCTTTTCCCCTTTCGCTCCTTTTTCAGAAGGAGTTTCCAGCTGTAAATATAATCTAAAGGTTAGATGGAAAATGCATTGTAAAAAAACTGCTAAAACATCTCTTTGGATTAGAGAAAAGGGGCCAGTGGCTGTCACCCAGTGCCAAGCTGTTTGTTTTATTACATTGTATAAGGAGAATGAATGTACATATTTTGATACTGATGAATATTAGTATCTGTGAAAAAGAGATATTGGCATCATTCTGATCCCAATAAGCTTCAGCATGCTTCTCTTTAACATTTCCTGCCTTGATAATGCTTTTCTTAAATAATGTTTTGTCATATTTGTACAGAAATGCAAAATATAATAAAGTGTTTTCTAAGTCTCTAACCAACCCCTTCCTTGCATTGTTTAATTCCCTGAATGCCTTCCATAAACTTCCCCCACAGAATTAGAATTCCATACTAAACTGCTCCCTAAGCCAGGTAAAGGCCTGACAAACTGTGGAAGTTGCTGTCCCATCTCTTTGATAAATGTAGATATGAAATTATTTCCAAAAACCCTGGCCCCCCGCCTTAAGCTACTCATGATGGGGCTGGTCCACCCTCATCAAGCATGATTTGTTCCCAGAAATGAAGCAAAAGTTAACAATGCCAAAGTTTTCAATTTAATTCACTTGGCTAAACTATTGGTAATTCCGACCATATTAATCTCTATTGATGCCAAGAAGGATTAGCAGGGTGGACTACAAGTTACAATGCGTGAATAAACTGGACTAAAGTCATATATTCATCACCAAGTGCCAAAATACATATCAACAGGCAAATATCACCACCCATACTTATTGGAAATGGTACAAGACAGGAGTGCCCCCTCTCTTCCTACTTTTTGTGTTGTCATTGGAGCCCTTCATCCAAGCTGTTAAAGACATCTCCAATATAAGAGGCTTCAGAATATCTGGCATTGAATACAAAACCTCACCCAACAATGACAATCTACTCCTTACAGAATCTGACCAAGACTCTTCTTTACCACACATTTTGAAGGAAATATCAACATACAGTCTAGTGTCCAATTTTCAAATCAACTTTATCAAAAGCAAATTTCTCAACATAAATGTTCACAACAACTTAGTAAGATCTACTCGTCCCCATTTACATGGGCTGATAAACATATGAAATACCTGTGCATATCATATCAAACGATTTCACCAAACTGCACAAACTAAATTAATACATTAAACACAAGATCTTCTTTGGACATGGCATCTCTCTTATTTTGGATGGCTCTGTAGAATCATTATCTTAAAGATGAATATCCTACACTGTTTCCTTTATTTACTACTAATATTCATAACCATGGAATTTGTAAAAACTACTCAACAGCTATTTAACTCCTTTATTTGGTCTAAGAAAGACCCAGATTAACATTTAATATCCTTACTCAATCTAGAATGAATAGAGGCCTTTGCATGTCCAACTTAGAGTTATATCATCAAGCAATAATGCTTGTTAGAATTTATGAATGGACCAAACAACTAGACATAACTCAATGGATTCATCTGGAGCAATAATTTCTTAATTTGCCTATTGCGACAGCTCTGTGGCACAATGCAGGCTCATTACTAATACACAAAAACACACACCCAACTATCACCCCTACACTCTGGATATGGATGGTGATTAGACAACATTCCACTCTGTCTCCATCTCCTTTCTCCCCTATACCCTCTCATGCACAAGCCAGGCACTAGCCAGATTACCAAGGCACATTATACTCCGAGTACTATATCCCTGCCTATTTAGCAATGTTTAACCAAAAGGAGGTCCAATGAATACATCTACTACTCTCCAGGTCACCAGTATGAATTAAATATGTGCTGTTCAGTCAATTCTGCACCCCGCTAGATATAAAACAATAAAATGTATGGGGATTGAACTGTGAACATCGTGTGATGCGCTCATACACAATCTGCAGTAAAATTCAAAGATCAAACTTTAGGTATGTGTTACAACTGAGCTAAACAATAACCAGCTTGAAAGATACCTGTACATTTAATAATGCATTTTCTGGGGATTAAAAACTTTATATTTCAAAGCAGTAGAAAAAAGCGAAATATATTTTTTATGTGTATTAAAAGTTAGAAAACCAAAATGGCTTGTCTATTTAATTTACTCTTTGTTAATGTTGTGTATAGGAATTATTTGAACAAATTATAGTAAATTCTCAAACAAATGAATAATGGGAAAATTATGTGTCCCAGCTTACCGCTTTATCTCCAGGTGGGCCAGGGGAACCTTCTGGACCCTGTACAATGAGAGTTACCAGTTAGCATGAGTCTCAGGTTTGTTAAATAAGACAAGTACATTGAAAAGGAGTTTCTGAAATGAGGTACCATCTACTGATTTCCCTGATTATTGTAGCTCTTGTTGTACAATTAAAATTTGGAACGCTGGGCAAAGTTTTGAATTCAAAACAGTTAGCCAGATGTAGCATTCTGAAGAATGAATTCAGATACTAGTAAGGGTTTTATAATTAAATCATATATCGGACATAATTGGCAAGATAATTATCTACATTTTCAAATTACATCTTTGATTCAGACTGTAAATCACCACTACTACCAGATAGTGGTAAATCTAGGCTGTGAAGCACACACTCATTAAAATAAGAATTAAATCATATTTATTTTTAATTTAAGGTGTCTGCCAATACATATTAAGAAAATGACATTTAATAATCATCATGATTTCAGCACAATATTTGAGGAATTTGGGATCAGGCTATACTAAGAGCCAAAAACAACTACACGGTTCATGTGATCTGTCTGTAGAGGTTTACCTCAGAAACCTTTTCTTGGTATCAACCAAAACACCAAACTCCATGTTTTTTCCCGACTTACAGGAACACTATAGGAACCAAAACTAATTTAGCTTAATGAAACAGTTTTGGTGTACATGCTTCTGTAGTTTCACTGCTTAATTTCTTGTCATTTAGGAGTTTACTCAGTTTGCTTATGCAGCCCTAGCCACATCTCCCTGCATGTGACTTGCACAGCCTTCCTAAACACTTCCTGTAAATAAAAATCTAATGTTTAAACTTCCTTTATTGCACAGTCTGTTTAATTTAGAATTTATTATCTCCTGCTCTCTTACTAGCCTTCAAGACCTTGCAGGAACCTCTTATGTGTGATTAAAGTTTACAGAGCAATGTACAATTTACGGAGCAGGAGATAACAACTTCTAAAGTAAGTTAACACGTACTTGAACATGAAACCATATTTTCATGTAGGCAGTCTCAGTCATAGCCAGGAGAGGAGTGGCTAGGGCAGCATAAACAGAAACTCGCGAACGGTTCGCCGCGGTTCGTGGCGAACTCCGGTCAGCTGACACATCCCGGCCAATCTCCAGCAGACTCTCCCTCCTCCTGGACAGCATCCATGTTGAAGCTGCCTTCAACATGGATGCTGTCCAGGAGGAGGGAGGGTCTGGGAGGGAGGGTCTGCTGGAGATTGGCCGGGATGTGTCAGCTGACCGGAGTTCGCCACGAACGGTTCGTGGCGAACCATGGCGAACTGTTCGCGAGAAGTTCGCGGACGGTTCGCGACATCTCTATTCCTCAATAACAAATCTAAATAAAAAAGAAACACCTTGGCCCGCTTGAAGGTGTAAAGGACATATTTGAGCACCACTGATCTGGAGTGTATACCCACAGGAATATTGTAATTGGATTGTCAGACAAAGAGCCACACTCATTATCGTAAAAGGCTGTTTCAGGGTTTTTTACAAGTAAAATAAACAGTTTGGCCAAAAATCCAAATCTTATATGCTGAACACGTCAAATGTTTGTTTTTTCTTTTAATTAATCAAACTGTTTGAGAATTGTTTATGTATATTTTACATACAACAAAAAAGAAATGTAGCAATACCATTACCTGCCTGTTGTCTATTCATAACCTAGATTTACAATAGAGTTGACTTGTAAATGTTACACATTAGAGGAAAATTACCAAGAAGGGAAACAAGCAACAAATTAATAATCAAAAAGCAATATTATTGCATGAGTTTTTACTTAGCTGTGTTTTTGCTCTTGAAAATAATCTTTTTAACCCAGAAACATTGTCATGTGATTAAGTATCTTGGACCAAATAGTTGCTGAAGTCCAAGATGAAGTTATAAATAGAAAGGACAATAATGCAAATGAATAATGGCTTAATGCATCTAATTTGAATCTGACTCCTGTTTGTATTGAACTACCTTTTAGAAAGTATGCCACTGATCTATTCAAATATCGGTTCATAATATATATATAAATACACTTGCATTTTCTTTATATCCTTAAAGGACCACTCTAGGCACCCAGACCACTTCAGTTTAATGAAGTGGTCTGGGTGCCAGGTCCAGCTAGGATTAACCCTTTTTAAAATAAACATAGCAGTTTCAAAGAAACTGCTATGTTTATAATAGGGTTAATCCAGCCTCCAACTCCTCTAGTGGCTATCTCATTGACAGCCGCTAGAGGCGTTTGCGTGCTTCTCACTGTGAAAATCACAGTGAGAACACGCAAGCGTCTATAGGAAAGCATTGTAAATGCTTTCCTATGAGACCGGCTGAATGCACGCGCAGCTCCTGCTGCGCGTGTGCATTCAGCCGAAGGGGAGGAGAGGAGGAGGAGAGGAGGAGGAGAGCTCCCCGCCCGGTGCTGGAAAAAGGTAAGTTTTAACCCTTTCCTCTCCCCAGAGCCGGGCGGGAGGGGGACCCTCAGGGCACTATAGTGCCAGGAAAACAAGTATGTTTTCCTGGCACTATAGTGGTCTTTTAACTTTTTATGATGATTTTTTATACCTCTCTCAGGGATAAAAATTGCAAGTCCTATGTTACTAGTCAAGCCTTAAAAGTTACCTGACACTACAAAGCACACGACACACTCACCAGAGGTGAATTTTGACTTGCCAGTGTATAGTGGAAAGTGGAAACTTTGAGCCCTGCTTCTATCTTTCCCCACAGTGAAGGATTTATATAGGATATATTTAGTTTAAAAGTAAATTACCACATTTTATCTTTATCTTATCTTCAAAATGCTGACCTAATATTCAAATAAATTAACCAATTTCGTCCTGTATGTTAAATATCTTAATATTGTAAGTGAGAGATTTATTTCTGGCCTTTTATACATACCTTTGGCCCAGGTGGACCAGTATCCCCCTTTTCTCCTTTAAAACCTGATTCTCCTGGATCTCCTGCGTCCCCTTGATCTCCCTATCAAAATAGAGCAATAAATATCAGTAGCGCCCCATGCTGTGAACAGCATTAGAAATACAAGTTTAGTCTGGTAAGAACATCCTTAGGGCTCCCAAATTATATGCAATAGTATTAAGATACTATAAACATACTATAAAAATTCTGTGGCATACTGTCCAACTGTCCTTATTTCAGGACCAAATCTCTCTGTCCCTCCTTTCTGTTCTTATGTCCCTATTTTCTAGAAGCTCCATGTTGCTGCTGTATCTGATTATATAACAGAGCTCCACAGCAAAAAAAATCACAGTAATATCATTTAAACTGCAAGACGTGATTAGAAACCAGTCTGTTAAAGTAAGATACATTGTTCTTGTTCTAAGCTATATGTTATTTGCATGTATTGTTATAGCAAGTCAACTACAGTTTCCCAGTACAGCCGAACCACTGGCCACATACCACTCACACCCCTAAAAGCGTCCTTTTTTGTCCACTTGAAATGTTGTGTGGTATGGAATGGCTAATAGCTCTGTTCCTATACAGAAATAAACGATCCATCAAGGAAAATGATTCTAAAACTTACCTTCTCTCCTTTAGGCAGAAGACTCTTATCTAGGGATGCCAACTACAAGTGAAAATATTACCGTTGTTATATTAGAAATGATGAAGTAAGATATATTCATTTTCTGTATGCATTCCTTTACTAAATACATATATTATAGTCAAGCATGTTGGGGAACATAATTGTTAAATTACCATCCACATTTAGCCACAAAAATTCCAATTTCATGGCAATACAAAGAGAGTGCTAGCTATTTCACACACAGTTTGCACTTACCACTATTCTTGGCTTCTTCTGTCATGCAGTACAAAGATGGAATTACAGTGGATTCCCACATGCACATGGAGAATGTTCTATGCATATTACATTTTCCATCACCATGATTATTTCCATTATGTGGATTTTACTAATATTCAAGAGATAAAACTTAATTCTACTTTTTTTTTGTTGCTTTTTTTGAGGGGCAGGGGTTAATCAGAAGTTCACATATCTAATGAAACATATATAGATGACACTGTTCATCCTTTTAGTGTGTCCTCCACCAGTCTGCACTCAACCATTAGTAATTCTCAACCATAGCCTATGACTAGGATATGGCACCTAGACTGCCCCTTTAAAAGTGAAAAAGCATCCTGGTGAATATAGATATTTGTCAATATCAGGCAGTTCAAGATGTTTGTAAAGTCCATTTCTCATGATGTCCAATCAGGTGTATGAGTTTGCAGAGTAAATCACATACATTTACCCACCTAAGTGACCCTTCGAAAGCCCTCTCTTGGTTATCTCTCTCTACTACTTAGCACTTATGGTTAACATTCCTTAACCCCTCCTTAGTTATCTCCCTCTATTCTCCTTTAGGTCTATCCCTGACATTCTTCCTACTTTATCAGTTCCTGTTAGTGTGGCATGGCTGAGTTAGAAGTGCTCAGTACAGCAATTTATTTACCGCAAGGCTAACAAGACCAGTTCTTGGGCCCCCATAAAATGAGGCAAACAAGGCATTTGCCTGGGCATTTCAGGGCGGCATCTTTTGCCACCCCCTGGAAAGTTCCGCCCAAGGCAAATGCCTTGTTAGCCTTGTTTTATGGGGGCCCAAGAACTGGTCTTGTTAGCCTTCTTTTATGGGGGCCTAAGAGCCGGCTGGACAGTCTTGGGCCTCCCAGGGGAGGGTAGCCAAGCATGCCCCACAGTGATGCCGGGAGCCAGAATATGACGTCACTCTGGCTCCCGGGATCAATAAGCGGCACGCGAGGGAGCTTAGCAAGAAGATCATTGCTCCCTCGCTGCCTACTTTGCACACCCTCCTGTTTTCCTACCTGCACATCTGCCTGCCCAGCTGCCCCACTAGACCCCAGGCAAATATCTACCCAATTCTCCCAAATGTAGGGAGGCTGCGTGGAATTGAATAATAAAAAAAAAAATACTAATAATAATCTGTGAGTGTTGGGGAAAATTGTGTGTGTGTGTTTGTCAGTGAATGTGTGTGTGTGTGTTTGAGTGTGTGTGTGTCAGTGAGTGTGTATGTATATCTCTCAGTGTGTCTGCAAATAAGTGAGTGAGTGTGTGTGTGTGTGTCACTGTGTGTCTGTCAGTGTGTGTCTGTCAGTGAGGGTGTGTGTATGTCTGTCTTTGAGTGTGTGTGTCTATCTGTCAGTAAGTGTGTGTGTCTGTTAGTGTATGTCTGAGTGATTGTGTACCTGTCAGATTGTGTCAAATCAGTGAATGTGTGTATGTCAGTGAATCTGAGAGTGTGTGCTTGTCTGTGAGTGTGTGTCTGTCAGTCAAAATGTGTGTTAGTCTTTAAAAGAAAGAGGTGGGGCAAATTTAAATTAGGGGGTACCCAAGTTCCATTATGCCTAGGGCAGCACAAATCAAAAATAAACCACTGGCTCAGTATGGTGCTTTGCCTCTCTGTTCAGCCTCAACACGAATACCCTGCATAACTAATTCCATTGTTGTGATTTTAGAAGGAGGTTGCTAAACACATGTGAAATCTTCACCTTTATTCACCATACTGCCTCCAGTTAGGCAGGGTTTAAGAATTGAGGCTGAACAAGAAGGCTTAACAGCAAGCACTAACAGCTAAACTGGACAAGAACAGCAACTCATGTGGGTGGCTGAAGGATATGGCAGCAGGCAACCTGCCAGGACCCAAACTGCATGTTAAGGGGTTGTAAAGTTCTCAGAACTACACAACCAAACTATTACTGCCACAGGTAGTGCAACAGCCTCCTCTTTTTGTGTTGCTCTCTTCAGTTGCACACATCCCACACCTCTAAGGCCAGCCTTGGCAACAAACATATGAGTTTATTTAAAGGACTCATTCATTATGCGATAATGGGTACAGTTATAAAACATTGCATTCTCTTCACTCAACTTTGCCATAAATTATTTCACAATTTATAAGACAAATTACAAAACTCTCCACTGCAACCTTCTAAATTAATTTTGATGGCTATAATTTAAACCATTAGTCAACTGAATTGTTGTCCCTATTCAGAAAATAGAGAAAAACTTTGAATTACAAAATGATTATTGTTTAAAACACATTGAACTTGTTAAAAAAAACATTCCTTTTTTTTACTTACGACACTTCCAGGTATTCCGGGTTTTCCCTGTAAGAATTACAATTTATTATATAATGCCTTGTTTTTTTATGTAAAAATTGTGCCTAAAAGAACTGATATTTTTTTTTAAAAATCTCCCAATAACTGTTCCTGAAATACTCAACGATATG